AACGAATTATAGCATATTGCTAGAGTAATTATATGTCACCCTCTCCATATAATTTTAAGTAAGTGAAAATTGATGTTTTATATGGTTTATTGGCTCAGGTTACGCTGGAGAAGGCTTGCACGTGTGTAGCTCCGTCGTTAAGCGATACAAATACTGCACTGTGGTGAGAGCAAACTCATTGCATTACTTGTCATGAAGCCTCCAACTGAAAACACCAAACATAGCCGTTTCTTGTATATGCGAAAGGGCAAAATCCATAGGATATTTGTAAAGAAGAGAACTAGGAATCGGGGACAGGGCTTGCTCCTCTTGTAGTGACCTCCCATGCTGCGCCATGCACGAGTTCACGTGATTACAGTTCTCGGCGTACCTTTAGGGCCAGCCGCGTGTTTGTCACACGCGGCCACTAAGCACGAGTGCACTTGTTGGCCTCCGGTCTGGCCACTCACGTTCAAGGCTGACTCAGACAAAGACAGGGTCTAGGTTTGTCTGGGATAAAACCTGCACTGTTGGGTTCTGCGCCTCACGGAATAGATGCGGCCTTTAGGAGTGCACACACTCGTAGGTTAATCGATACAGCAAACTGGACGCCGTATGGCGCAATCGCAATCTAAAATGACGGCACCCCCGATAGTATTCCCTGGATCACTTCGATCCTGTGGCGCTGCCCGGTATTCCGGGCGGTGATTGGCGGAGATTACGACAGGTTTTAAAGTCCGCCACTAAGGTCACGATTGGCGGAACACCTGATTAGTCTAGGGCACTAGATCCAGCAAGAGCACTTTGCGGTAGCGCAGCGTTAGGATATTGCAGTCAGGGACTCAACAGGAACGAGATAGTTGCCTACACCGGCGGCTTTGACGGGGCTTACAGGGCAATATCGATTTGCCACGCACCTTTAAATGTTTGGCGTTTGCTCCCGAAACTGTATGCCCCTATTTGTGCCTGAAACATTTAACGAACTAGAAACTATACGCTTAGTTGGCTGGCCAAATATATTTCTTTCGACCCTCCCTCCATCTCCAGAAGAAAACCGTTTACGTTGGTTCATCTGTTTCGAAATTAACGGATTTTACAATTATTTGTCATAAGTGAGATGCGTTCAAAATTGAAATGCACGTTTAGAGTTGTCTATTCGCACAGCAGTTGTTAGCGAAATCTTGTCCAAGGTTTAAAATCTATTGCCATCATTTGAGCACTCGTCAATAAATGTGCAGATGCTAGCTCGAATGCATGATTCTCTTAAACGGTAAAAATTTAACTTAGGGTCCACTACAGCTTATTTAAATAGCTGAATAGGCAAACATGATTTGTAATGCCCCTCTAGATATCTATTCCACCCGCCAAACTGCTTAAAGTATTTTGCAGTCGAACACTGAACGCTTGGCTAATGAGCATAAATTAATATGTAATTGTGGGGGAATTGATAAAAAATATTAAATTAAATAAGATTATGTTTGTTTTAATATGCTAAATACAATTAAATTCAATCAACATAAACTTCTATTGCGTGGAATACGAGTGCTAATCGAAGGAAATTTGACCTTACATAGGCAGAATTTAACGAAAATTGTAATTCGTCCTCCTATCGTTGGAATTTAACGAAACAGTTTAAAGTCAGGCTACCGAAGATTTGAAAGTAGTTTTTTATTATAGGTTGTAGGGATTTTTTGCGGCCTCTATAATCATTCCTGCCGCCGAGCATTTGAGGGCGATAATTAGAATCGTCCAATAGTGTCAAATTGGTCTATATATAAACTCTATATAGAGATGATATAGAGTTCATAGGGACTCGACAGTTGTGTCCATTTGGGCAATATTGGGCTTTCTACTTTCCTATTGGTTGCACATCTCATTTTATCTATCGTGCGAAAATATTTGGCCATTTAAATAATTATTCCTATTATTTTTTACTTTTATACATTCTGCTGTTTTAAAAATTTTTTCTTCTGATATGTTCTAACTATTTAACTCTTATTACCACCTGGACCGTTCTACAGGAGGATGGGGTATTCGCATGTTATTGTGGACCCTAAATTGAACTCTTATCCCTTAAGCTAATGCTGACACTTGTGAATCCCTACTGACGACCTTTCGCCAAACATCCTGCGGAATGCTATGTATGACTCGGGTATTCTACTGGATGTTTGGTCTCCTTCTGATGGTCTTTCTGCGGTTGACCATCGGAAAATCTTCCTAGACGGGAGATCATTCAGAATTCTCGTCTGTGGAAGGAGCGGACGACAAGTAACACTTAATACGGACCTTTACATTTCCCGGCACATAAAGCCCTGGAATTCAAAACCTCCGCTTGACCTC